CCCCCGCTTGCCTGCGCTTTTTGCACAAGACAGAAGAACAGCAGACCCAGCAGGTGCCTGCGATGCTGTCGGGGGAGACCTCTGGACTTGGGACCAGAGCGCCTCGGTGTTTTCAGATGGGGTTTGAGGTAGCTTGAAAATCTTAGGCGTGGCCTGATGCCACCATGCTGTTTGGTAGTGGGTCTCCTGCGATAGATCCCCTGGATTCGGCGATGCATGATCCAGGGCCTTCCGCCTGTGCGGGTGCGTGCCCTCTGAGCTAGAGGAGCCATCAAAGCAACGATGCCAACTAGGGCAGAGAGACCCGGATAGTGCAGTACCAAGGCCGTCGCGCTGGGGAGTGGTGCTCCCATGGGATAGCGTCTGCGTTCCTTTCCGGGGACAGGCCAATGATAGTTCTTCATGCTGTGACTGGACCGGACAGGTGGGGACAGCAATGCGCAAACAGGGCAGCAGGTTGTTTTCTGACGGCGCCAAGGGGCCTTGTTAGCGAGGGTGGCAGCAGGGGCCGAATTCCGGCTCTCCCAGTTGTACTGCACTCCAATTGACCGAAGGACATCCTGTAGATGACCCGGCGAAGGGACCTCGACATCTCCCACATCATGGCCTTCGCCCCTCCAATAATACTGTACTTTGCTGAAGTATCTGGGATGGATGAGGCCGCTGAAGCCTTCGGTGAGAATGACGTCGTTTGTGCTCCGGTAGATGAGCATGCCGTCCTGCAGCGCCTTGCTGACATTCAAGTGTGTGAGCACCTCGACGTTGGCCCTCATGCCGGATTGTTCTCGGCGAGTAGACTTCGGCAATGAAACCGCAAAATGAACATGTTTGCGACGTCTCTGTCCTCCTTCGCCCCCGGCTCGAAGGCCGTCCTGGTAGATGGCTGCATAGTGCTTCAGCATGGTGCCATGTATGGCTGTGGGAGCTTCTTGCGGCTCGAGAACCGGGGTGAGGAGCTGCTCGTCATCAATCCTGATGGAGTGCCCCTGGGCCGCCCGTATGTAGCAACCAGCCTCTCGTTGCTGCACATGAAATCTCTGCTTGCCTGATTCTTCGGCAATCGCAAGAATCTCCTCGCGTGTTGCTCCCATGTCTGCCAGGCGCTGCTGCCGGAGAACCTCGCGAAGTGATGCATAACCACTGTCCTCAATCACGAGTCCATCTCGCCGACCCGTATGGCGAAGAATCTGGCTGAGGGCCTTCGAGACATCCTTCTTCCTCCTGTCCGTTCGAGGATCGCGCTGACCTCGAGGTGGAGCCCTGACACGTTGGGGTCCGACTTTGCTCGGCTCCCTGATTAGGGCCGTAGTCTTAGTAGGCTCCTCTGCAGGGGTCGAGGTCTCACCTCTTGCGGACCTCCGACGGGAAGCCGAAGATGAAGCAGGTCCTTCCTCCGTTCTAGCTCCTTTGCTCTTCTCTTGAAGGTCATCCGTCCTCAAGGAAGTCCGCGGCCGTTTCTTCGGCGTTGGACGAACGCCTGCTGGAGGAGGTAAGGACCCAGACGGCGCCCGCGAGGGGGCCGATGATGATGCAGCCGAGGCCTCCACTATCACCTCCACCTCTACCAAGTCCTCTGATGCCCGGCTGTGGCGAGCTCTTGGAGCCCAAGAAGAGGCCGAAGAGGCCAGCGGCGGCTCCCCCGAGGGGGCCGAAGTCTCTTCCCGGTGAGGTCGTCGCTGGGCTTCGGCACGACGCTTCTGTAGCTCCCCTTGTGTGCGTCTTCTTGTCCCATCAGGACGCCATCGGGAGCGTTGGAAGGGTCTGGGGTTGAGGCCTCTTTCGGCCCGGGATAGGGCCATCACGGCTGAACATGCGTGATAGTCACTGCGTCGCTTTCTTAATGACGCTTTAACCAGCACAGACCCATTGCCACTCAGGGTCCTGGGATGCGTGGCATAGCCAGGCAGCGCTGAGCGGTAGCAGTGGACCGTCTGTATCGAACACCTGTCGTGTCAGCCTCTGGGCCTGCCCGTCTGGCGCTGAGGCCTTTGGCGACCTGATGCCACGCTCAAAGTGTTGCGGAAGATGCTCATAGTACGTTATCCGACACGCCTGTCCCCGACGAGAAGGCGACAGCCGGACCTGGGCAAGCAGGTGCAGTTCTGGAGGGGCAGGCAACATGTTAAGCGGGGGCAAGGACAGCGGATTGCAAACCGCACAGCTCGCACTGCTACTCATGTAGACTCCACAGGCGCGCGGGCTGTTCGATCGTCCTGGCGCTCGGCACCCATTCCTGGGGCCGTTGGTGGATGATGATCGTCGGTGTGCGTCTGCTTCTGGTACTTCAAGTTGTGGCTCGTCCTCCAGTTGGAGTGGTTCGTCGAAGGCGAGCCAGGGGCTGAGCTCTTCCCGGAGGGTAGCCCACGACTGCTTCCACGTCACACGGTAATACAATGTGGAAGGTATGCCGTGCATCAGCTGAAGTAAGTTGTCCGCCGCAGTGGCGTATTCCTGGACTGCCTGCAACGTCTCCGGGGTGTGCTGGGACCAGAGGTGGTAGAGCCAACTCTCGACTGCGTCTCCCAGAGCCGAATGGTTTCGGCGATCTACCCAGATTTGTGGATTGGTATCGGCTTTGGTAGTCAGCGAGGCCACAAGGCTCCAAATCCAGTTGCCGCAAGCCGGCGTCTGGAGTCTGGAGGTCTGAAGAGGAGGGGGGCCGATGTGCGGCGCCCCAGCAGGAACAACTTGCCCCTCTTTCGCGAGGTGGTATTGGTTGTGGAATTGTTTGAAGCTGCCCTCCTCCAAAAACTGCTCAAAGCTGGTAGAGTACTTCTGTAGTCTTGAGCATGCAGCCCGAGCGTTGGCGAATTGTTGCAGCTTCAATGCTCGCGCACCCTCCTCTGCCCTAAGAAGGGCGAGCTCGGGCTTCGGCGCCACGGTCTTGGAGCGCACGGAAGGCCTGGCCTGTCCCATCATCCGGAGGGTCATAGCTTGCACAAGCTCCCGCTCTGCTTCGTCCACCTTGGCACGAAATGCAGTTTCGTTGTCCAGCAAGGTCAGCAGTTCGGAGTTGTCCAGTGCGAGCAGCATGCTCGTGATCTTGTCCGTCAGCTCTGGCTTGTACTTGAACACGGCGATGGACAGACGCTCACCGATCAGTTGCTTCTGTGCTCCCGGTGCGGCTGCAGCAAGGGTTGCAGCTGTTAGCGTCCGCCCACGTTCCGGGAGAGCCTCCGGTGTCGACTGCATATGCAGCGGTGTAGGGACCGGTATGCCTGCTGGCTCGGTAGTGCCCTCAGTGGTCTGTATGGCTACGTCCCTGGTCTCCCTCTGCACTGCAGTGGTCTGCGTTGCTGCTTCACTGGTCTTCCTCTGCGCCTGCTGGGTGGCGCGTTCCAAAGCCGGCTCCAAGGTTGGCTCCTCTGGTCGGAGGAGATGGGTTAGCAGCAAAGCTGCCGTGCTCTCCGCCCTGTTCCGGGTTCCATCTTGCCGCCTGCGA